GGTTTGATCACAACCAAAATAAATCTGAGGGGGAAGGGTCACGTGAGAAATCGAAACAGAGCCTCTCCTTTCCTTTATTCACACCACAGATGCTCTCGTCATTCTTCTTTGCCAATTGTCCAACAATGGCAATCTCGTAATTACCAACCTCCGTTCAACCTCGGTCCCATCGGCCTCAATCTCTCAATTCTTCTATAAACCCAAACCTTCGATTCCCTCTCCGAACCCATAACGCTTCTCAATTTCTTCAAGAAATGTTGAAGCTTTCCTGTAATAATTTGACTGACCATTTACACACCTTCTTCTCCGATCTCCCTTCTTTCTCTCCGGTGAATCGCCGCATCGTCTCCTGTTCTCATCTACGCAAAACGGCCCCAGATCCTTTACGAGCACTTGATCAGAGAACCCTTACTCTCCCCGATTCCGTTACTCCGGCGGATCGTCTCCGACATGGTCGGTTGATGGAAGATGGGTTTTCTTACAAGGAACAGTTTATTGTCAGAAGCTACGAGGTTGGGATTAACAAAACCGCCACCGTCGAGACAATTGCTAATCTCTTACAGGTTTACCATGTCCCTTGTCGGTGTCCACAAATTCTGTTTTTTTGTTTAGTGTATTGGTTACTTGTGTAGCTCTTAGGACAGAAATGTGTAGTGGTCAATGTCTTCCTTGTGTCCTGTGATGTTGGAATTATTAAGATTTTGTTGATGTTAATAGGAGGTGGGATGTAACCATGCTCAGAACGTTGGATTCTCGACCGATGGATTTGCGACAACACTCACTATGCGGAAATTGCATCTCATATGGGTTACTGCAAGAATGCACATTGAGATCTACAAATATCCAGCTTGGTAACTTGAGCTTTGAGTAGTTGAGAATGATGAGTAGGATTTGTGGTTTGGAGTTTGGAGTTTGAAGTTTTCGTCTTTTCTTGTTTGGTTATAGGAGTGATGTGATTGAGATAGAGACATGGTGTCAGAGTGAAGGAAGGATTGGAACAAGACGCGATTGGATTCTAAGGGACTGTGCCACGGGTGAAGTTATTGGGCGTGCTACAAGGTTTGGCTTTTCATTACAAAACTTTAGACTCTAGTCATTTGTTTTAGATGCTATATGCAAGTCATTGACATTAATAGCAACAGAAACCGGCTTATCGGTGCTCATTTAGTTGTATGGATTTATGCCTATTACTGAACTGTTGTTTGATGAATGTTACATGGGTCTCAGCAAGTGGGTGATGATGAATCAAGACACGAGGCGGCTTCAAAGAGTTACAGATGAAGTTCGGGACGAGTACTTGGTTTTCTGTCCTCGAGAACCCAGGTGAAGAATCATGGTTTATTATAATAGCTGGTTCCCACAATATGGTTAAACAGTTATCGACATGAAGATCTCAACTCGTTCTTCTTTTTATTTCTGTAGACTAGCGTTTCCAGAGGAGAACAATAGCAGCTTAAAGAAAATCCCGAAACTGGAAGATCCAGCTCGGTATTCTATGCTTGGGCTTAAGCCTAGACGAGCTGATCTGGACATGAACCAGCATGTGAATAATGTCACCTACATCGGATGGGTCCTTGAGGTAAGTAACTAAGTATATGCCAGATCTCAGGTCATTTATTGATGAACCAAGTAATAAATTTGAGCTTGGTCCATGGTATTGGCAGAGCATACCTCAAGAAATCATAGACACGCACGAACTTAAAGTTATAACTCTAGATTACAGAAGAGAATGCCAGCAAGATGACATTGTAGATTCACTCACCACCTCTGAAATCCCCAACGAGATGGTCTCAAAGCGTACTGGGACCAACGGATCTGCCACGACAAGCAAACAAGAACACAACGAGAGCCAATTCTTGCATATCCTGAGACTGTCAGAAAATGGTCAGGAGATTAATCGTGGGAGAACCCAATGGAGAAAGAAATCCTCAAGATGAGTTTCCTTTACTTTGAGTCTCTCAGTGAAGTTTTTGCTTCACATTTGTAGCTTTATTGTATCTTGTGATCAGATATCTTTTTGAGGTTAGAAAACATTGGATTGTTTGAGTAGTGTGTCGCTGTTGCACTTCTGTTTTTGTTAAATTTCTGTCCAAATTTTGGGCTTTAAGCCAAAACATTTCTTAGGTCTTAATCTTTCTCTGCTTTTATCTTATTCTAAACTCGTAAATACAATATTTGTTCTTTGTTTAAACTGGTTACAAACAATGTGAAATAAAACTGAGAAAAACAGAAACAAGCTGATTTGTTGTTTTATGTGTCAAAGCTTCTCAGTTAATGCAATCATAAAAGAGGTAACTGTGTTAGCATCTAAAACGATCCATGAATACTCAAAGAGCTCATGAAAGTAATCAGCTTTAGATTCTTCAGCTGCCTTTCTAAAAGCATTTCCAAAGGCATTCCCTCGAACTGCCCCGAGCCTTGGCTTTCCAAAGACACCAACAACAAGTAATTTCTCGGGTTGTTGAGATGCGCAAGCGCATAGCATTGGTTTCATTCGAGCTCCTTTCTCTCTCAAAGCATCCATTAGAAAGTAACAGAACTTTGTTAAAGCCTGAGGATAACCCAAGTATTTAGCATCCATGGAATCATCAATCTTCACCCACCTGAACTTCCTTCCGCTTCGAATAGATCCACCTTTGGTGATTGCCGCGCTTCCTTGCCTAAGAATTGCTCTTTGAACTTTGATTGCTTGCTGCATCCCTGATTTCAGCTTATCCACATTGGTTAATGAGAGAGCATCATAAGCTTCACCAAACTGCTTTGAAGCAGATGAGCCACTAGAGACAAGAAATGATTCGAGAAGCGCTGTAACACCGTGCACTACATCCGCAGCTGAAACCCGTGAACCATAACCATGAAGCCTTAAAAAACTTTGGTAATAGAAATCATTCATCCCGTATTCAGGCAAGAATCTATCAAACTCTTCTTTCATTTTACTTTTCACTTGTTGGCTCATGTACGGAAACTTTTGCTGACACTTGATAAGCACAAATCCCGTACGAGCTAAAAGAAGCTTCACTTTCTTAGTGCCATTATCACTCCAAGTCTTCAACTTTGTAGCGATGTACGATGAACAAATCATGGAATCAAACAATGTCCATTCCCTTAAAAGCATAAGCCGAGGCTCTTCTTCGTATAATATTCTCGAACAAATAGGCGCTCGAACCTTTGTCCCGTCTTTTAAAGTAACTGAAGTGATCTTATCTATGTTCCCTAAACTATTGATGTGTTGTTCAAGCTCCATTACCGCAGCTTTGTATCTTTCATCTGTCAATCTCTCATGAACAAACTGATCAGTCAAGGAAACACAAGCCAACCAAAGTAACTCATTCGTGTTCTTCCTCAACAAATGAGACAACTCAAACATCAAACATCCAGATGGCTTTCCATGAAAAGTCCCCATCTTGTAATAATCCCTCTTCAAAACCTTAACACCATCTCCTACTCTTACTTGACCTATCACCATCACCATTCTGACTCTCACTTCCACTCTCATAATCATCATCAGACTCTTCTTCTAGGTGAAAGCTCTCATTTGCGAGTTTAAGGACATCGAAATCGTAAGCAAGATCTGCTTGTCTCTCATCATCATCAGTGTAAAGAACAATAACCTGATGATTCTCATCACTCAAGTTATGCAAATGAATAGGCCTATGACTATCCACAACAAACACACGAGCCGCGGAACCTAACCCGAGGACGAACCGCAAATCGCGGTGACAACCCCAATTGATCAAGAGTATAGTCACAGGACTACTATTACCATCTGACGAAGAACAGAGAGCTTGTCCTGCGTATTTGTGGATTTCGAGAAAGGATGATACAGGGAAACAAGAGTATTGGATTGAATCGGATTCGAGGACATGGGTTATGATTTTGAGAGTGCAGAGAGAATCAACATCAGATGATGATGGGAAAATCAGAAGTGGGTTTTGAGAAGACGATGAAGAAGCTGATTCACGAAGCTGAGTATAGAAAGACTCTACTTTTTGCAATCTCACCATTGTTTAGTAGCGAAATTCGATTACCCAGAACAATGAAATCACTAATTGAGTCGCGAAATTGTTGTTACCAGATTGACGCCATTGAAGAGCGGAGAGCTTCTTCTTCTTCAATGCTAGGCTT